TGTCCGGTTCCTTTGTCCTCGACTGTACTCGATGCTACCCGACGAAAATCTGGACATTGGGATCTTGTTTGCAACGCGAGCGTAGAGTAGGGTAGCGTTGCGTGGCATCGGGCAGATATGCACGGGGGTAATACAATATTATGGAAAATTGGACATTTGATTTGCATCGGGTGGCTTGGGGTCACGTCGGCTAGCGTTGCATCGGGTAAGTGTGTTCCCCGTTTTATTCAGTGTCGTACACGTACATTTTGTGATGCATAGAAAGCGTTGCGGGTCAATCGTGCCATTTTTTTATTGGCTTAAAAAACTATTACCTTTCCTGGATAATGTGGTCCAAGAATTTGTAAAATTGGATCACTAGAAGTTAGTAAAAAAAATTACTCAATTAAGAATTCCTATTCCAGGAGCGAGCGCCATTTCCTGTAAACGACCGCCACTACCTCTTTCCGTGGCGTATTCACAATACCAAACGGGGAAAATTATCCAGACAGGACCCAAAGCAATGCAAATAGTTTCACAACTAGGCAGAGTTGTCTTTCCGAAAGGTACATAGTAGTAGAATCGATGGGAAATGCTACATAACAATAAAACGATATTTGACACAAACGATGTGCGTTTCTCTTTATTGTTTATCTCTTATTTATTATGCGGTAACATAAAAGGTCTTTAAATACTTCTATGAGAGCTTTTTCGAAAATAACTATTACATTTGGAGAAATAAATTATTAAAATATAAATATTAGAAAAATGTGTTCGAAAGTTTTCTTGCTGTAGATGTTTTTTCAGTCGAAAAGTTTCAAAAAAACTCGAGTTAAACTTGACTTTAATAATAGAGAAACATGAGTACCAAATTTCATCAAAAATGATTCGGTGCTTACTGAGAAAATGTCTCTTTTAGGTTACCCCCTTGTAAATACTACCCGCAACACTTTGTACGGGTCCCCTTAACAGATTAATTGCTGATGATATTGTATTATGATGATGACTTTATTATTGTTGTTGTATTATATGACTTTATTATTATAATTAATATAAAATATTTACAGAATCATAAGGTTTGAATAAAAGGTGTTCTTAGAAGATTTGTCAGTATTGTTAAACGATGTAATCGTAACATGTAAATTAATAAACTTTTGATCAGGCACTTTCGAAATTCTGCAAAATATACATCCAAGTGTTTACTCAGCATGAAACTCCGTCCCTAAATACAACGAGCAACAAGTGTAAAAACTTGTTGTTTTGTTACTATAAACTTGCCTACTAACATATTACCTCTTAATTCCTCCTTAAGTCCTCATAATTCAAATATTTTTTAAAATGTCAATTTATAATTAGTATAAGCACTTAGTACATTTTTGAAATTACAGTAATAAAATGAAAAATTTAGTTTTATCAAAACGAAAATGTTGAGCCAATCGAAAATAAAACGATTAGTTCAACTATAACAAAAACTAATCAAAAATTAAACTAGCATACCTTTCAATATTTGTTATTCTTCGAGGTTGGGTTTATATTTAACTGCCCGATATACGACAAAGCCAGCAGGCTTCATCACCAGGAAAAGGACAATACTGGTAGCAAACAGGGTAAAATGTATATGCTCCATATATGGAGAATGGATACAAAGGTCGAGAATAATTATTGATTATACTAATAGTTATGGCATAGACACCCGTATAACTAAAACTAGGCAATGGTGTTCCAATTAATTACTATCGATTAAAACAAATGCAAGCGTAATATTAATATTCCTATCATACTTCTTTTATGAGATTTTGTCAGATGCAGAATTGTAACTTATTCGTTTCGGATCATCAACACAGTGAAAAGAGGCAGACCAAATTGATCGTAAATGACTGAACTACAAGTTCATCTTCCACAGACCTCAAGAGGAAAAATCAGATTTAAAATTGCAACATACTTTTTCTCGTGTAAAAAGACGTTGTATTATATGTCCATCCCCCTGTAGTAAAAACACTATTTAAAAAAATTACAATATCTGATAATTACATTATTATAAACATTTGAAAAATCAGATTTAAAATACTTTTTTCTCGTGTAATATAGTGTATTATATGTCCATCCCCCTGTAGTAAAAACACTATTTAAAAAAATTACAATATCTGATAATTACATTATTACGTAAACATTTTTATTCAAGAAAGAATAACTTATTTGAATGTACTCGTTTTCACCTTCCGCTATAATAGAATAGAATTTTTCTCGTCCGACGTAAATATAAATTATTTCTGGTTTTATTTACATTATTACTTAAATGAAAACATCTGCAATTAAATAGTTAACGTTGTCGTTAGCATCTAAACTTGCAAATACTTATAAATTCAATTAGATGTAGGGTTATTTGATTATGTATACCTCGACTTTCCCCAAAAGAAAATTTAATATTGAAAGAAGATAAAACGATAACATCGCTAAAGCAATTTGTGTTAATATGAATCCAAAGGAAAAGAGGCGCAAAACATCGGTTACGACGTTACCCCTTTTAAAGGAAGGAATCAGTCATATCCTGGAAGGAACAACTTCCCCCTCGGTTAAACTGTTTACTGCGGTTTCTGCGATGGTTCCGGGCCCGGATGACAAGTTCCGGAGAAAGCAAATGGAAAAGGGATAGGCTGAACGTTATAAACTTCATTCCCTTCCATTCCTCCTCCAGAAAATATTTTTGAAAGGTAACGGCATTACCTTTAGACATTTAATCGGAACCGAGAGGAAAACTAATGGGTCGCCGCCACCTGTTGGGGAACGAGGCAGGAAACGAGGTTAAAAGCTTTTTTGAGCCAGTCGGATACAAGCAGAAGGACTAATTCGTCATTTCATTATTCATGCCGGCCAAAATCCTATCAATTCCCCCCACCCGTTTCAAATCCCGGGAAATATAATTTAAATTTATTATAACCGTTTTTTACCTATTGCGCGTTTTCTATTGAATATTATAATAAAGGTCCCTTTTTAAGAAAAGAAAGGTATGTACGTTAAACAAATATGTTCCTAATATATAATATACAACGTGAAACCTGTATAAATCAATTTAAAGTTTTTAGCAACAAAACACAACTTAAACATTTTTTCTAACTAGAAACAGATATGAAGAAAAAAGGGTTTCAAGCTATCTTTAAAATAAAATTTGTGTCACGATATGAGCTCATTGTCGAAGAGGAGGGAATTCGTAAGGTTTAACGTTTTAGCGGTATGTGAACACAACCGCAACAAAGACCGCGGTTTATTTGTGTTGAAGCCTTGACACAACATACAGCCCTCTAAGATTAAAATTAAATCAAGTTTTAACAGAGTTCCTAAAATAGTTTTGAATTCTGGCGGCATTAGGAAGCACTTTTGGTACATATTTTAATATTTCAGGAAGCTCGGCTAAGTCGACCAAAATGAACCTGTACTTTCATAAAATGCACTTCGAATATTTAATCTGGGGGGGGGGGAGCGTTAGTTTATAAAATACAAAAATTAAATAAAAAATGAAAATTAGAACCGTACAATTATAACGTCAAGGCCATAATAAAACCACTAACTAGGCCTTTTCAGAATTCAAACTATAATGACAGTGTAGTTCAATCGTTTCCATTTTGATCCACCTATCCTTGTCTGATGAATTTCTGCTTTTCGCTATCTTCTGTGGTGGTTCTGTGTATTATTTTGTCAATACTGATCTTAGTCAGACCATCCAGTGAAAATGGAGGAACTTTATGTTTCAATATTATTTTGCTGAACAAACCATACCCGGATAAATTAATAAGGGGCTTAACTGTAAAGTAGGCACTACGAAAAACAATTTTCAATTTAAAAAAAACTTGCTTTCACAACAATAAAAGCAAACATAATTTTTCCCATTCTTAGGTGGTAAAATTGCCTTTTGAGACACTGCTCGATACCGGTCGAACAATTGGTTGGAGATGACAATGGTCGAGGAACAATAACGGCCACATAACTGGAGAATAAACGGCCTCCGACCTACAGGAATCTTCAAGGGCAGTTGGAGTTTCAAAATCGAGGATCTTTACCCACTTCTTCGTATTATCTTACAAATTGTTAGATCTCTACGAGAGCCCTGTATAAAAACCTAATGATTTATTATGACACTTTTGGTTAACGTGAAACTTTTTTGAGCGGTTCGGAAATTTTAAAATGCTTAAAATGTGTCTAGTATCGCGGCTTTCAATATTTTGACAATTTTTTTTTTATTTCTTGTTAGTCTTGTGAAAATAAAGTTAGACTAGTTATATGAAATATTGTAGAATAACTCGTTATATTTTCTGATAATATTGTCTTATTTATGTTATCCACAAGCAGTAAATATTTGTCCTGCTTAAACGTAAAATCTTTCTAAACGTTTTGCTTCGAGTTGTTTCGTTATAAAATATATTTAGAGTGAGAAAAAAATTGTACAAAATTAATTTCGTAATAATTTTTAAGTAAAAAAAAGTTATTGGCAGCGGTGGGATTCGAACCCACGCCCTTTCGGACTGGTGCCTAAAACCAGCGCCTTAGACCGCTCGGCCACGCTACCTCATGGGTAAAATGCCGTATTCAACCTCACTTCACTTACTCCGACAATTTTCTTTCCATTCAATGATCTTTTTTTTTTATTTTGTTTCTATTTCAATTTTCTATTCTTACGCAAATAAATCCACGATACGCGTTTTATTTAAACAAACGAAAAACATATTTTTTTACAACTGTAGTTAAAAATAGAAAAACAACAGACAAGACAATAAATAAATTAAAACTAAGACTTTCCACGTCCATAACATTTTACAAACTCAACATTCCTTTAGATTATATTACTTATTGGGCAAATAATTAAAAGTTAGTTTGTTCCATCACTGATGATATGGCATTTGCTAGGAATATACTACACTACCATTAGTTATAAAAAATATTAATCCACAGCCGTATTATTTATGACCAAATGACAAAATAAATATACATAAATCCAAAGAAGATGTAAAGATATGCATGCAACTAACCTTTGCTGAGAGGTACACATTTTCCTTTAAGTGTTTACTGCAAGAAATTCATCTGGACATCTGAAAAAATAAAATACTATAAATATAAAAATACAAAAATAACTAACCGTAATCAAATTATATATTCATATAACAGTACAGATATTTATTCATTTAATTTTAAAAGTATATAATAAAAAAATTTTATTGATAAACAAAATGTTTTCTATCTGACCTAAATAGTTCCTAGCTACAAAAAAAGGAAGCATTAATAACTTGTAGCTAGTGTCAGGGGTTGTTTAAAAGCAAACAATAAGCAAGTCTGGTAAGCCACCCTCAAAGCTTTCCTGCCATGATTTTTTTTCACAACCCTTTTTATGAGGAATTTCAACTGATAGACTATTGATAGGTTATTGCATTAATTATTTTGAGTCGACAACAGAACTATTGCATAAAACAGGAAACTTGTCTCTTAACAAAAGTCAATTTCAATTTAACAAAATAGCAAATGTTATCAAAATAGATGGAGGATTGAGCTTTTTTTGCATTTTTCAAATTAATACGGTCATTAAGTTTAGCAAAGATGTATTTAACATACATCATTTTGCTATGTTTGCATAGATTTTTTTATAGGTCACATCCACTTAATTTCTTTGAAGATAAGTAACTTAAAAAAAAGTGATTGATAACTTATAAATAACACAATGAAGAAATAAGACAATTCAGCCTGTTGTTAAATATAAGAAATAATAATAATAATGTCTTTCTTCATATGAATATTGTTTACATCTTTTACAACAACATTGTTAAAGACAAATATCATGGTCACAGGACCATGTTTTTATATTTTTCTCTGTGTACTTGTAACTTAACAACAAAAAGGAAAACTAATTACTTATTAATATATTTTTAAAATTAAGCAAGGTAGGTTGATGTTCTAATAATTAGTTCGAGATTTATAACCAGTTTTGCAAAATTGAATTAACTTGTCTTTGCAACAAGTGTCTTTGCCATTAACAAAATCAACAATCACATTATTTAATTTAAAAATTCACAAGTAAAACATGTTTTTCTAAGTTTGATAAATACAGGGCAAACTGCTAAAAAATGAACTACAGTTTCTTCTTTTTATCCACCATGTGCAGGTCACATAAGATAATTACATTTTTTAAATATATAATTTAAATTTGGTCTTCTCTGCAATTTATTATCATCCATCTAATGACAATGTTGTATCACATAAGTAATGCATATTTCCTAAACTAAAATTTAATCCTAAGTGTATAGGAAAATAATCGCTGTGCTTTACGTTGTTAAAATATTGTTATTTAACATCTTCATAAACATTTTTACAATCAAATTGAAAGCATATCACCAGACTTCTACATTGGAAAGGTAATGATTTAAGGACTTATCAGTGTAACCCAACATGCTTACAAAAGTATTTTCCAAAAACACCAGCACCCGAGGGTTCACATAACCCCCCCCCCCATAATAGTTGAAGTACCCTTGTTTAAAAAAAAATAAATAAATAAAAAATAAAAATAAATTTAAATTCTATATTTAGATTAATTTGTTTATGGACACATAATTTTTTTAAACCAGTATAAATCTTTTTTAACTATATGAGTGGATATAATTTTTGGTAACCTAATTATCTGGGAATGAAAGAATTTGAAAGAAAAAGAAAATGATTGTTTCACAATAAAGGAAAGCAAAAAGCTTGCATTGAGTATAGTACAATATTCAATAAATGTTACTTTAGTATGTGCCAATAACAACTGAATAAGTGTATGTGTATTTTAATCGACATACCCCCACCTCAATTATTTCTATTAATTTGCAACATCGTTATGTTAGCTTTTTAAAAATGCAATATTTCTTCAATTACTTCTTTTAACATATTGCTTAACTAAATACGTACATTAATTAATTATAAATTGACCATCCGTTTTTCTGGCTTTATTTCTCTACACAACCAATAGTTTATACGCCTGATCCCCTTAAACCAAATACCAATTAGTCAATTTACTAAAAGTTAAGCCTAAGTGTTTCCATTTGCTTGGGTTAACTGCCCAAACTGTTTCTAATTAGACAAAGTGAGTTTATTAACGTAAAGTGACTTGGTGAATTAGTTATTAATGAATCTTAAGTAGCAGCCACTAGATTTTAAATATATTTTAAATTTATAGCTTACAATGTATCATAAATAAAAATACACTATAAGATTTTTTTTATTAAGTTATTTTTGTTATGATACTTGTGGTTATAATAAATCATAATTTGTTTTTATTTTGAAAAAATATGTAACATATGTTTTGTTTATATCAACATATGTTTTGAAATTGTAAACATTATAAGATGACCCGAATAAAGGTTGAAACGTAACAACAAAAAAATGAAAAAGGTGTTTCATTCTTAGCCGCTCCTCACTACTTCAGCAAACTACATTCATATTGACGATACCAATCATTTACAACTTTACCTAAAATTACTGGAGCCAGTCAATGAGTTCATCAAAAACAAAACACATAAGTTTAAGTTTCAATAAGTTTTGCTCTATGGTAAACACTAGAGGTTACAATAAATCATAATTTATATTTTTATTTTGAATAAATGTGTAATTTTCCAAAACACTTACATAAAACTATTGTTCTAAGGACATACATTAAGTCGATACCTATCATGAAAGTTTCCATGAAATATTGGAGCCAGTCAATGGTTTCAGCAAAACCAAAATATATAACAAGAGTTTATTTAAGTTCCAATAAGGTTTCCTCTGTGACCGATTCTTAAATAAAATAAATCATAATTGATATTTTATACTGAAGAAAAATGTTATTTTTTTAAAAAGCGTACATAAAAAACTATCACAACTGTTCTAAATGCATATTGTCGATACCTATTATTTTCAACATGCCCTGAGATTATTGGAGTCAGACAATGGTTTCATCAAAAACAAAACACAAAAGAGTTTATTCAAGTTGCGATCAGTTTTGCTCTGTGACTGATTCTTGTGCTTCCAATAAATCATAATTGATATTTTTGTTTTGAAAAAAAAAAAGTTATTTTTTTAAAAAAGCTTACATAAAAATACCTAACACGTACAAATCACCCTGAAATATTCCAGCCAGTCAATGGTTTCATCAAAAACAAAACACATAAGAGTTTATTGAACTTTCATTAAGGTTTGCTCTGTAGCCAATTCTTGTACTTTCAATAAATCATAGTTGATATTTTATTGAAGAAAAATATTATTTTCTAAAAAAGCTTACATAAAACTATTGTTCTAAATGCATACATATTGTCGATACCTATTATTTTCAACTTGCCATGAGATTATTGGAGCCAGTCAATGGTTTCATCAAAAACAAAACACATAACAAGATTTTATTATTCGTGATTTGATGCAAGCAAAAATATCAATCCTAGACTATATGATTGTTATATCTTGTTATGTTTTTATGTGCGTTGTGTTTCATAAAATATTGACTGGTGACTAATTTCAAGACAGTTGTATATAATATAATCTAGCACTTGGCTATTATTGCTTGTATTATTAAAGCTAGTAAATGTTTGTGTTTAAATCAGACCGTCCAAACTGAAAAATTCTATTAATTTTGACATTTTCGTTCAAACATATCCGAAGCGGTTGTAATTAAATGGTAAATAAAAAGTTCTAACCGACCACACAAGAAGGTTACATTCGTACACAAAATTGGTTAATCGAGATGTCAATTCAAGGGAATAAAACGGTTTTTGGACTTACGGCTCCTGTTCGTCAAGATCCCTTCGATTTCCCAAAGGATAAAGTGGATCCAAAGGAGTATTTTGGAGGAAAAACAACCCCGACCGGGGGCCGGAAAGGATTATAAAAGACGAAGAAACACGAAAATAACTTCCGAAGTTTAAAACAGGGTTTGCGAGCCGGTCGTGACCAGTGCTGCCAACACAAAGTCCAACCTGTTGCATTTGATTCGAAAATTTATTGAAATAAAAATCCTTTATTATATAATAAATTTTTTTTTAAAAAGTAACCACTAAAAAAATCATAAGAATGTTCTTTTTATTCTTAGCCATGTTGATGCAAAATTGGCAAAAAATGTTTTAATAACCCTATTGTATTAATATAATGAAAAATTTACTACTGATGATGGGTGTAAATTCCCGAAACAATTTAAAACTTTAAATTGTAAAAATTTAATTGTAAAAAAATAATATAAAATACGTTTTTTTTTACAAAAAAAACTAGAATTTATAAATATAATAAATCTGGTTTTTTTTTTAATCCGTTGCATAATAAATTAAATGTTACTCTTTATTTTCAGTTAATAACACAGTGCTGCCAGCAAAAGTCAACAATTGAATTTGGTTCAAAAATTATTTTTATTATTTTTTATCATTTTATTCTTAATTATATGTATAGTCAATTAATTACACAATTTTTTTTAATAAAAAAATTGTATAACAAAAAAAACTAAATAAAAAAAATAAAAAAAACAAATAAAAAACAGGATTCAAGCCCACTACCTTCAGCTCAATATGCCACTGACCGAACCACAGAACCCCAGAAACTTCAATCACCCATACCACAAACTTCTCATTTCAATTTCTCATTTTATTCTAATAGTAAGTAAATTGTGGCTTCATATAGAATCACATTTATTGATTCTACTACTATTAGAAAGACTGTATGAACCACAGGTGTGATTCTAGGTAAATAACAACTTTTATTTTATTTTTTAATCAATTTATTCTCAATTATACATATACTCAAATTTATACACGATTTTTTCAAAATGAAAGCTTGGAAAAGTAGCTCAAGTGGTCAAAAGCAGCAACGTAATAAGCCGAAGGTCGTAGGTTCGATTGTTGTATGCTTTGTGTTTCCTTTTCACATGTACAACTTTTTACCCTATAAATATGATATTTTGCATGTGATTGTAAAATGTATCTTTTTATTATAATTTTCCACTTAGGTGGTAATGATGTTGGGATAGGAAAGTTGGCACTATAAATGAAATAAAGGATGGGACCAAGAATGCTGCTATGCGAAGTGCCAGCTTGTATTCGTCTGATACCTAAAATATTCATTGTCACACCTCACTCTGAAGCAGTTAAACAGATGCAAGAAATAGTAAGGGATGGGTAAGAAATGTTTAAGTTTGTAAAGTATAAAGTAGCAGACTATCAATTATCTCATATATTTAATAATTTAATTACATTTAATATATTCAGGTGGTAAATTGAGGTATACACGCTGGAATCAGAATTCAAAGATTATAGTGTCATAAGGAAACTTAATCACTTAAGCTAAGTCACAGATTTGAGTATCGAAAAAATTGTAAATCCACAATGTATTTAACAGGGATGGAAAAAGAGTTCATGAAGGGAGGGATATGTTCAACCCAACTCCTACTTCCTATATATGATGGACATTGGACTATCTCATGAATCTCCATAAGACCTGTTACAGAAGTACTGTTCACCTCCAAAACTGGGTTTCCTTTGTTGCTGGGTTGCTTGGGAGAGAGAGAAATATTAATGCTAGAATAGTACCAGAGTTTGATTTGTCATTAGTCTAGCAATAGCCATCCCAGTTGCTTACACTTTTGACAAATATAAGAAAACGACCTTCTACCTTGAAAGTCTAACAGAACCAATTTAACTCTTACATGGTAGAGCTTTTTCAAGAACGATTCTCAAGGATTAACCCCCTAGAAAAATCACTGTACATATTAGGAATGGGGAAATATGCTCTCTTGTTCTGGGCTTGACGTGGAAAGGAGACTTTTTTGTCTATATATTCATTTTATAATTCCATTATTCACCTAATTGTTAATTTTATTCTAGATTTTCTACAAATGCTCTTTTATTTTTTAAAGCAAAATAGATAAATAAAGTTGTGAAAATTTAGTTTATTATTTCACTCTTACCAAAAATTCCATTTGGCAAGGCAAAACTCATTTCTGAAGTTTTTTGAGAATCTATAACACAATGACATAAGTCTTTGTTTTTGTCTTTTGTATTTATTCAAATAAAAGGAATCATTTTTAATTTGGGCTTACACTCGAAAGTAGACCAACTCCAGCTTGCAGGATGGGCAAGACTGTCTGTCCCCTGACTGTAAACACAACTTGCCATGAATAGTCTAATTCCAAAATAAATAATCCATATTTACTTTTAATTACTTTTAATTTAATTTTCAACAAGGATCATTTTTTCCTTCTCTGAGTTGTACACACAACTTATAAATGTAAAAATTTTATTTACAAACAAGGATAAAATTTGTTTCCTATGTCTTATCATCTGACTTGAGTTCATAAATCTGAAAACAATTTTTAAAATGTTAATAATGTATTTTATTTCACAATTAAATTAATATACCTGAATGTATGCTTCTGTAAGTGTTATCATCTGGGGAAGGATATCACTGACGTGTAGATCTTGCATCTCATACCATTTCCCATTGCCCTAAGGAGATTAAATTTCTCATTATCAACTATAATATTTGAAAAATCCCAAATACAAAAGTGTATAATTACTTTATGTAAAAGGTGAACTCTGTAAGTTCCTTTGTCAGGTTCACCATCATGCACTATATTTGCAACTAAATCATACACAGTCGTTTTGTGCAATGCTCTAATTTGTGGTGAAAGGAACTCGCCGAAATCAATTCCTCTAAAAAAACAATTAATGTTAATTGAAAACATGAATAAAATTAAAACAATGTTTCTACTTACTTGATTGGAAAATTAACAATCGTAGGATTCTTTTCGACAAAAAATGTGTTTTTTGTAAACCTCTGAAATTATTTTTTAAAAATTATAACACTTAAGTTTATTAAGTTTTCTTTTTCTATTTACAATATTACCTACCTTGATATATAAAATCAAATACGGTGGCAGTTTTGTAATTTCAAACCGCTTCATAAAATTCTCCTTGTAGGTTTTGTACTCCTTTTCTGTTTCACCATTAAATTTAGTTAACAAATTGAATAAGTTGACCTGTTGCAAAATATATTGTTAGTTGGTTCATTTTATTTTTATCAATGGCAAGAAAACATTAAAATAATTTCAATTTATATTAACTATCTAATCATCATGTATCTAATTTGATTAATCTTTATATTAAAAATAAAACGAGAATATTTTTCAATTCATAATATTTTTAACTTTCATACGAACACACAGACAACAGATTGGCAGATTATTCCCTTCTAGCACTATTCCCTAAAGCATCGAGAGGGACTGAGGAGTGCAGGTATTCTCAAGTAAGGCATTTGTCCCCTAAAGGGTGCCAGACTTCCACCTCCAAACCGTGCCCCTTTACTTATGCATTTTCACAGATTTGTTGATTTGTTTTGATTGGTTGGCCAACTGCCGTTTCAAAAGTGAAAATATTTTTACACCACTCGAATAAAAATGTAAGTACACGGTTCTTTATTATTTGTATACTTTATATTTTATTTATTTCTTCAGTTGACCAGTGTGGGTACAGCAGTTTGGGTATAGTAGTTTATTTTATTTTTATTTATTTTTTGTTATGATTAATGAAGTAATGATTATACTATGACTACAAAGATGATAAAAGAGTTATGGTCCTGTAAGCTATGCACGATACTGACATAATTGATGGGCTGTCAAAAAAAACCTACTCAAGTCATCAGCTACAATTTTACAAAGTTTTTCATTGGAAAAACATAAAATAAATAGGATACTCAAGGGAAAATGAACATATTTTCAGTTCGTTAAGTTTTCTAATTTTTACAACTTTATTTTCTTATTTTAATTAAGTTTAATTTTTTTATCTAAAGTCTGGTTGAGATGAAAAAGTTAGTACCATGAGCAGGATTTGAATCCACAACCTTTGGCTAGTAAGTCACAATAGTAGTTTGAGCAGCGACGTATTTAGCCAAAGGTCGAGGGTTTGAATCAACCTGCATTCCTATAATATAAATAGACACATTTAAAAAAAAATTACTTGTGGAATAATGTTTTCCATAATTTCATCTTTGAAAAGAGGTGGAGGCGGTAGATCACAGGCTAAATAAAGAAAGGGTGACTCAGTTGTTGTTTCCTTGTATTCATCCAAAAGTAATAGCTCCAGCCTTTGTTTCTCATCCAATTCAACAGGCGGTATTTTCCTCGTCCGTATTCTCATTGCACCTAAGAATGTTTTGTACAGGATAGACGAATCTGGACTTTTTGTGCCATTTAAGGCCGTGTGTAGTGCATTTAAAAACCAGGAAAGGAAATTAATTGGATCACCTAAAAATACAAAATGTTTGAAAAACTTGGAGATTCATTAATATTTTTCATTGACGAAGTTAAATTTTACCCTGTTTGATGAATTGAAATTTTTTTCTACTCCATAAAACAACTGCTTGTAACATTTCATGCGGTGAGACATGAGCTTTGAAGTTTCTTGGATTCCACAGTTTCCTCATTAGCTCACCAAAACGTTGGACAAGTAGAAATGAACTATCACCTGGTGGTCTCTTAACACGAGCATAGTTAATTTCTCTTAAGAAAAAATCCCTTAGAGGTGTGACATGACAAAGAGCCTATTGCATAAAATAGATCAAAACACTTTTTTTTAACTTAACTTCATATACCATACAAGTTTTAAGAATAAAAATATATTGATCCTACTTGAAGAATAACATTGCAATAATCATTTGCTTTAATGTTGTTTAAACCGACGATTCCAGGTAAATACAGAGTACCATCTATTGCTCGTGAGAGTTTGTCACTCGAATCAAGCCCCTTTATGTGATCCGATGTGAAGGTAGGATTAAGCACATATTTTATGTCATCAAGGGAAGAATCTAATTGCATACATTAAAACATTATAAATTTAAACAAGCAACCAATTTATAAATACTCACCAACTATTTCATAATTATCTGGTAAACAATAAAATTTTAGTGTGTGCAAGTTTAAAAAGACATGATGTGTTTCTGCCACACTATGCGTATATGCATGAGTATTAGTTCCTCGGCCTTAAAGAAAAAACAAAATTACACAAGTCCGATTAAATTTAAAATTTCAATATCAGGAAATAGAAAAACACCTTGGAAATATTTTCCACACACAAGGCAGGCATATACGTTTATCCTCGACAGAGAAACAGAGCAGAGTTTCTCAAAATCAAAATCCAAAACTTGACGGTTGATGGTGTCAAGGTATGGACAGAGTCGATGGGTGACAACTCTATCCTTCCTGTCTCTTTGAACTGAAACAGAAAAATACTTATACTGAAGAGCAAATAACTTAAAATATCACACAACAAAGACATAAGAGAGCTGTGAGACACTTTAACCCTCTACTGGGCGAGCAGCAGCACTCAATTCCTCTTCTGAATGTTTTTGTAAATAAATAAATAAATAATCTATTATTATTTTTGAACTATTTACACTTGTATTTGCAAACAATTTGTGTTTTATGCTGAAAGGAAAAGTAAGATGCTGCAGCATTCCATACTGTCCATTCCTTATATTGTAAATAAATAACACTAGTAGTGCACACTAGTAGTACTGAGTACCATACACCTAGTAACTCTAAAAGGCACACCAAGCAGAGGGTTAAAAAAGAGGAGTATGGTCATGTCCAATCATTGATATCAGAAATGATCAAATTACAAGTTCATCACACTGTAGACCTGTAGACCTCTCAATCTCACAAGTAAGATTATAAAATTGCAGGAGTCTTCAATAAAAAAGAAATTAGAGTATAATGCAATATGGATGGTGATGATGTGCACCATAAAATTCCCTCTTGCAGACTTTTTGAAAACAAAAGAGAAGACCTAAAAGCCCTATTCCGCAACTGTTAGCTCTCAACTTATTCAGTACCAAAATCGTTTCCAGGCGCTCAAGGCATTTAGCTTGAAAAATCTTGTCCATCAAATGTAAAGCTCATATTTATATTTATTTATCCATATATCTACATATTTATTTAATGAAAGGTATAACAAACTTTAATAGGTTCATAAGGTTAGACCAGGCTGGTTTCACATTCTCAATTTTGCAGAGATTCTGGTAGACATACTAGTCAAAATAACGAGAAAAAAAATAATGTAAAGAGAAAACCAACAAGGAAATACCCATTAGTTTACGATAAATTAAACTCAGTGAAAATAAATCCCCATACTCTCCTCGCCTTCATAAGACAAAGCCATAAGGCGATAAGCTCAGACATTTCCCCCTTTTCTGTTTCACACCCCCAGTTTTTAGTCTGACTTGGTCCCACGGTATAAGGTTTCCCTAAGGTACAGTGGAGTGATGGAAGGGAAAAGAAAAAAAATTTGAATATAAACAAAAATTTATGATTTTTCCTGTAAAAGTTGTGAACTTTTTTTTTTCTCGATAAAAGAAAATTCTGCCCTTAATTTATCTCATTGTTTTTACTAATAAATATTTGTTTATGCTATGTTTTAAATTAGGAATGTCAATTACAGGTAAACACACTTAATCCTTAATCCAAAACAAGGAAAAAGTTTTTTTTTATGTTTACTTTTAAGGAAGCTAAAATGTTTATTCAGTCCCATTTGAACTCTGAAGCAGAACTGTTTAGTTTTCATCTTTGTTTTCTTAATTTCAAATTTTAAACTTAAAAATGCCATATGTTCTAAAGATGTTGCACAAGGTATGGCACTTATTGATGATGCACGTTCCATCAGGTATGTGGCTATTCCCATCTGAGTTCCCTGCAAAACACTGCGAGATGCCGTTAGACGTTTTCAAGAAACTAGGTCCTACCATAGAAGACCAGGTTTTGGATGCCCTAGGGTACAGATCCACAGGATGGCCGTTTTTTGGTTTAGAGAAGTTTGCAAAACCGGCACCTTACTGTTGGTCAAGCAATTCATCAGCTCCAGGAAGTTTGATGCATCCAAATTTTTGAACGCACTGCTCAATGAAGATTAAATAGGTATGGACTGATGGCTTTTCGCCCTGTGAAGACCAGAATTGACCAGAACACACAGAGTTGCACGGCTCGCATTTGCGCGAAAATACAGCCATTGGTCTTTGGAAGATTGGTCTGCTGTACATTTTACAGATGAGTGTAGATTTTGCTCTGTGATCTACAGATGGACATGAGTGTAGAGAAGGCAAAATGAAAGGTACGAAGCCTGTAATTTTTCCAAGAGCCAAACATTTCAATGTAGCACAGTGATGGTTTGGGCGGGAATTTCAATGGAGAGTCGCACAGAGTTGGTTGTTGTTCATGGAGGATCCTTGACAGCCACTCGCTATGTGGATAAAATTTTGAAACATAATGCATTGCCTATCTTCGATGAAATCCGAGACAATCTTATTCTAATGAACTATAATGTCTGTCCAGATGTCACTCGCATAGTATAAATGTACTTTCAACAGCAAAACATCAGGGTCTTAGCCTGGCCAGCCGTTCTCCAGACTTGAACCGCATTGAACATTTATGAGTTAACCTCAAAAGACGAATAAGAGCACATCCATCACTTCCTGATGCACTTCAACATATCGAAACGACTCTTCGTGAATAATGGGCTAACCTCCAATAAAGAGAGATTTCCAGACTGGTAGAAAATATGCAGAGGCGTCTTCAAGATGCAATTAAGGGAAGAGGAGGAAATACCCCATGCTGAAATGTTAATTAAAAATCTAAAACAAATTTTATCTGTCAGCCTTTTGTTTTGTTTTTTTATTTAGACAAACTCAATTATTAAACGTTAAAAAAAGTGAAATTTTGATTAATATATAAAAATATATACAAATCAAGTTATATTACAAGTGGGTGGAATTTTTTGTCTCTCAGTGTATGAGCAGTATAGTATGAAGCAGTAAATGGAGTGTACTTTGTAAATAATTGTATCAATGTATTTTCGGTATATTTCCTGAATATTTATTGGAATCGAAGATTTTAAACTGGTGGTTCGAGTATAGTTTTGACAAAATAATCAGGAGAGTGATGGAAAAGAATATATTTCTCTTAAAAACATAAAAGGATCGTATCCATCAATTTACCCGGCTCGTCGTCTTCAGAAAGCGGATCTATGTCGTAAAGATCGTCTTCGGCCTTTCGTTTCAGCGCTTTCTTTTCAGGCTGAACACCGTTACTTTCTACAGGCTTGACCTCTGATGACATGACTCTCTGAGAAGCAGTTTCAATCACAAAATTTTCATTTTTACTTTCAAAATTCAAAACGCCGTAAAACGTCTAAAAACGGAAAACCTCCCCGGTTGTTTACCAGTTGAATGACGCTAACTTTGACTGGGTGAACCACCGCAAGAGTAGGGAAATCAGCATGACATCACTCATTGATGATGAAATTTATTTCATCAAATTTATTTCACAAATGGATTTCAACCTATACCACTCCTCTTTTTTATATTTTTAATTTATCTTTGTTACTGGTATTCACAATCTTTTTAACAAAAATCCTTGTTATACCGCCTTTAAAAGTGGATTAATGTTAGATATCAATAACTATCGACGGATTTCTTTATCCCTATCCTTAGCAAAAATCAATTAATGAAATTTCTTTGCAAAAATAATTGGAGTAGTGAGGAGTGGTAAGGAACGAATAATTATGCTACTTCATAACAATTAAAATTATACCGGGAATCCTTTGGTATTGCAGCCTGCCTCAGCTGTTGTAGAGTTCGTTGGCTGCTAAATGCTAAGGTCAACCGGTTCTGAAGGTTTTCGAAACCTTGATACTGTGCGGAACGAGGAACGACCAGAAGTATCAAGTTGGAGGGTGACACTGAGATGCTTCAAATATCCACCTTGCAACCCAAGGAGAAAAGGTTGTACCATCAATTGTACGAAGAAATAAAGTGACGGTTTAGTGGAAGTTTCCAAGATATAGTGTGCAATTAGTGGGCTTTTAGTTTCACGTTGTCAAGAAAATGTGGAAATTCATTCCCAAAGGGATCAGGGACACCCTCGAGAGGGGTTTGAACATACACAGAAAATCTGACACGAGGGTGGCACGCAACAAAAAAACTTTAAACTGCTACATCTTAGAAGGCTTGAAAGGTATTACTTGTGGAAGCTCAGGATGTGACCAGTCGAAAAAACAAGGTTCATACTGTAACGAAAAAAATTGGTTCACCGCATTCAGTTGTGTAAGTTGATTTTTCTAAAAAAAAAAATTATATCCTCATCAATATCTCTACAAACTGCAGAGTAGTGCATTAGCCCTTGGTTGGGTCCTGTCACAACCCTGTATCTGGAAAAGAAGGCTATACAATGACAAGCCGACTATATTGAAAAAATTAAATTTGGCAGAGCAATTGGCAGTTGTAGCATTTCTGCAGCCGAACAATGGGAAGGAAGCTCTAGCGAATTGTGTTCACTCGGATTCTGTCATTTATGGTCCAAAAACTGCTGAAGAGGTAAACTATTGTAAATTTACCTATATTCGTCAATTTTCGCAGCGCCTGATTTTTAGGCTTTCCAAGAAGGGATTGAAGAATTTTCAAATGTCCACAACACAATATGGGCTGAAATAGAGAATGCAAAAGGCATGGCTTGTATAGCCAGTAAAGATAACAATGAAGCGTTCAAACATTTTATGCATTCTTCGAAACTAGGTTACCCACCTGCTGAATATAACATCGCTCTATGCTATGAGCGCGGTATTGGTATTAAACAAGATTTTGCAAAGGTAGGTCAGTTTCACATTTATTCTTTTAATTTGACCCTTAAATGGTATGGTACAGGTCAGATCCTACCCAATGGTTCATTTTCCCTCTCCCATACTTTCTACTTTCATTACAGGTTGTCGAGTCAGCCGGAGCGGTATCTATCAGTAAGTGAATTTGGCTACTTTTAATTTTCTCATGAGCTAGTTTATTGCAGGTCGTTTCTGTCTTGAACATACCAACAATGTTACTAATTTTACAAAGGTCTTTTTTCACAGTTTTGACCTCAAAATGGCTTGGCAATGACTGTTTCGCACTCCTGAGGAAGTTCTGGCTGAATTTCGTCTTCAGGAGTATGCTTCAGACCAAGAGGACCCTGGAAGGAATCTGTCTCAGAATTGGAAGATGGAAGTCTTATTAACAGTAATGTTGAGGATCTATATTGTTAGTAATCCCAATGGTAAGATTCATCTATCAAGTCAACAGAATTTCAACTTTGTTCAACCCTAAAATAAACAAAAATATTCTTGTAATGTCATGGAAGCACCACAAAGTAACAATAGGCGATGAATGGAGCAAGCCAGAGAATGAATTATGTAACCTAACAAAAGGTGGAGATTATGAAAAGGAAAGCTACAAGGTGGCTATTGAGATACTTCTTTGTAATACTAGTCATTGCAGCAAATACAATTTTGTTTTATTTAAATGTAATATGAAACAAGATTTCTTCTCCATACATAAAAAATTCTCGCTTTGGCCAAACAGTCGACATAAAAAATGCACAACTCATATATTGTGAGGGCTCTTCATTTGACAATTGCCAAAGTCTTAAGGAAAAAAAAAGAGGAGCTGAAAGAACGATTCAATAACAGCCAATCAGAATTTTCAAAAAAACTAACAAGATGGAACTAAAGGAAAATGAATTTCGTGCCAAATGCAATTCATGCTTACATGATGAGCATAAAACAGTATTATGGGTTAGGTAGGTATGTGATTGACAATTTTAGTGAATAAACAGAAATGTGATACTCCTTTTTATTTATTGAAAAATTTCATTTTCTCCATACATTATTTTATGTTCTGTCAAAAAAGACTAGAATCATATTTCGTTTTGTGTAGGTACTTTGATTTGAATTTGAAAGCTGCTAACAACTAAGGATTATTTCTACAAAAAATTATTTTTAGATAATAAAAATTATTATTGTAAGATATTATCAATAAATGTTATTAATAGTAAACATGCTTATGTAAAACTTGTGTCTGCCAAACATCTCATCAAAAACGGATAGGGTTGGATCTGGCCTGACCGTACCGCCTATTTCATCTCAAAACACATTTGAGGAATAAAATAGTAAAATTGTCATTTTTGTTAAAGGCCGCTAAGTGGTATGAAAAAGCAGCGTCAAATGGCCATACAACGGCTATGTACAATTTAGGAGTTTTTTATGCTCATGGTTGGGGTGGGCTAGAAGAAAGCAGGGAAAAGGCTAAGAACCTTTTCATTCAAGCTGCAGAAAAAGGCGAACCGCACGCAACAGCAGCACTAGGCCGACAAGACAAAGTTGACAACAAATTGACTGAATCTCCTCCAAAATTAGGTTTGGGCATAAGTTTATGTATATTACTTAATATGAACATATAAATGAATCAGTATTTATTTTATTGTATTTACAGAAGAAGGGCATGTATCACATAAAATGGACAATGACAGTGGCATCAATGTTGACTTGAGTAACGATATTGACAATTTATTGAATTTATCAAGTATCAATTTGAAAGATGATTGTAAGCACTTTCTTTAAAGCTAAATTATTTGTTTTATTCTTAAAAATATTATTTTTTAGGTAAATCAGTGCAATCTGGGTTGCTTCATCGTTTGTACAAAGTGTCTTCAAATTTTGGAACGCCTGATGCTAAATCTATTATGCATACATATGAGTTTCTACAACTTATTGACGGTAGTAGATCAATGACAAAATTCAACTTATGATCATTAAATTGACAGTTCGTTCTATTCCAGGCAAAAACATGTAATACAAACAGCCGCCAAAGGAAAGGAAGTCATGAGTTTTGTTTTACAATTTTACCATACCTTGTAGTACTTATGTAAATAGATACTACCTAGTTGTATAGGTTTAAAATCAATGATTATTGTTTGTACTTAAATACCTGTTGTTTTTTTTGTTTTTTTTTTGTACAATTTGCATATTTGTGATTTTATTTTTACCGTATGTGCAATTTTGTAATTCTATTTTTAATCATTTTTACTGTTGTCAAGTAAAAAGAAAAAAATATAAAAATGAATATTGTTAGCAAAGCTACATTTATTAATATTTATGTTTTGTAAATATATTTATTTTCTAAGATTGTAAATATGTTAGTATGAAATGATAGTTTGGTTTTTATTTGTACCACTCTAATACCAATTGATTTATTAAAAATAATTGATGCATACATCAAAAATTGCCATTTTAAGGTACAGGTTGAAGATGCATTATCAAATCTTTTACTATATAATTGCCAGCAGGAGTACCCCAAGGGTCTGTCATTGGACCAACTCTTTCTAATGTTCACTCATGTACAAAATAAACCAACCTTAAAGTTAGGTTTATTCATATTTTATAAAACAAGTTTGGTTGTAAAGACATGTTAAAATAAAAAGTTTATTAACTAATTAAAAAAAAAATAATAAAATTTAAAAAATACCTAGAAAGAACCAAGCAGACACTGCCAACTGCTCAGTAAATCAAAGTCTCTCTGGTAAAATATTTACTCCCAAGAAAGTTAAATGGGCAAAACAGATTTAACTCCTACAAATCACCAGGAGGGGACAATATTTCTCTGATATTACTGTAACAGGGATTAGAATCCCTGTTATCAATATGTAACATTTTTAGAACCAGCTATGAAGTAGCACATATCCCAAAGTTATGGAGACAAGAGTTGTGTTCATACTGAAAGGAGGAAGTCCCACCTCAGATTCATCAAAGGCAGTCCTACTCAATACTCATAAGCCTAACTTCTTTTGTCCAGAAGACAATGGAGAATATTATAGGCCAAGAAATTAAGGACAATTATATAGTAAAATTCAGCAGCAAGCATACCAAAAGGGTAAATCCACAGAGAGAGCCCTAAACAAATTGGTAGACAGGGAAATAGCACTCTACTGCTTCATGGATATAGAGGGAGCCTTTGGCAATACTCGTACAAAGAAAAGGCATAGACCTACCAACTACTGTATTAGCAATGCTAAGAAGTCGGATTGTAGTGCGGACCCTTCTTTTCATGTTGGAAGAAGTTCCATAAATAAAGAAAATCTACTGGAACTTAAAGTTTAAAAGTTTGAGTTTATCTAAACAATAATATACCTTAAATTATGTCAAAAGCTTGCCAGATAACTATTGAATTTGTTTTTTCATCCAGACTATTTGTGAATGAAAAATTGGTCGATACATTCCCAAAATAGGTGGAACACTTTAAACAGATATTTATGTAAAAGTACTGCACATTAAAACGTTGATTTTCAGAGTACTAATATGAAAATGTCTTTTTAGTTTTAAGTCCTTCCTCCGTAGAAAATTGAACAGGATAAATTTATTTATTAATTATATTAAATCTCTCTGACTAATTATTTAGAGGGGAAGTGATTTTTAAAATTGTAAACTACAAAAAACGCATGGGACCCCATTTATGACGTAGTTGGCAGTATTGCGTAGAAAGGTATTTATGCTGCTCAATGTTTATGTTTTCGGGAGGTTGCAGTCATTGTTAAATACAATGTTTGGCGTAATCTTTTGAATTATGGTCTGTAAAGTGATCCGTAAATAACGAGAAGTGGTTATCAGTATTTTTGATACGTCTTAGAATGATTATTTGGCTATACAAGTGTATTGCATAGGGATGGCCCCTTCGCGTTCAAGGAGTAGATCAAGGAGGAGAAGGTCGAGTACTTCTAGTGACTCTTCTTCCGAAAACTCGAGGAGTAGGAGAAACACACACAGGGATGCATCGAAAGCCAAGGAGTCGCGAAGTTCTAAGGGTTTCAGGGACAGAGATGAACATAGACACGACGATAGGAACGTCAGGGAACGTAGAAGGGAGTCGCCGAGGGGTGCTTCCAGAACCAGAGAACCTAGTCGCAAAAGGGATGAAACCATAAACGATAGGCTGAGAAAATTGTCGGAAAATGGATTCGTCAAACCTGCCAACAAATACAACAGGAAAGAGGAGGAAAACCGTGGCGGCCACTGGCACAAGAAGCGGAGGGACAACGTAGATCTTGAGGATGAGTTTTGGACATATCGTAGGGAAGAAAGGGAGAAAATAACATTTGTCGGAGTTCCGACTGTCTGGGGAAAATCACCTCTTCGGCCATCTGAGAAGTAAGTGATTTACATATATGATATAATCACTATAATTTTGTATTACTACAATATTTCTTGTGAGATTTCTTTTTGGCTTGGCGATGTACTTGTGATGCTGGGTGTTGGTCTGTGATTCGGTTAGACTCATGCTGAACCGGCGATGGATCACTTATTGGGTTTGTCTTAAACTTTGTTTACAATTCTCAATCAAGGTGTGGTCTTGAAGAAGCAAATTCAGTTGCTACTGCCAATCTTTTGACCTATTTTAAGGTCATCATCAGTTCAAAACAATCTTAAATACGCCTAGAGATTGACATATTTAAGTTTTTACAAGCGATCTCAAATGTCCTTGAAGACTGACAAGTCCCAACATTTCCATGGACTGTAACAGTTTTCCATACTGTTGAGAGAATACTGTAACCAAGGAAATTTGTGATTTAAACATATTTAAGGTTGTTTTGCCCTGATGATGACCTTAAAATAGGTAGAAAGCTTGGCAGTAGCAACTGAATTTTCTTTCTTCTTCAAGACCATACCTCAATCCAGATTGTTCATAAGTAAAAAAGTGGTCGATACTTCTAATACTTAAAACAGAAATTTCACTTAGTTTGTTAAGAAACTGGGTTCCTTCTTCACTGAAGATGGCGTAATGCTGAAACGTCTTGGAGTAGTTCAACAAACCCACGTGTTGACAGATTGAAGGCCCAATAATTGAACCTGTGCTGGTTCAGAATGAATTCAATATTGTTCATTTCTTATTTAGGTCAGCTAATCCTACCTGCTTTTCAGGACTGTTGACTTTTACAATATTCACTGAATGCATAAAGTCACAATGGACAAAATTATACGCAGTCACAGCATTAAGGACTAGAAACAACCAAATAACACTGATGGATAAATTTAATGTACACTCAATTTATGTAGTTTAAAAATAAATCCATTTCTGTCTACATTAAAAAATTCTGGTAATTAGGAGTGATTGTGGTCAAAATAAACAGTAAATAATGCTTTGTTTACTTTTTATTTACTTTAATTTATTCATCCCATTTTCGCACAAATTATCCCCTTCCATTCTGGTATGCCTAAAAATTGCTTTTACTTTTTCCTTCATTGATTTCATTTGATATTATTCTTAATCTTAAATCTTTTCAATGGCCCCAGTCAGGCATTTGAGCGAGTTCTACTCTGTATGTCCAAAGTAGTCAAGATGGATTTTGGATCCTAGAAGTTTTCATAGTTATCTTCTCTTAAGTCTTGTATGGGGATTCCACGACAGTCTGCTTTCTAGGTATAGACCTAAGTATTTGACTTGAAGTTGTTATCTCTTGTTGTTGATGAACAGAGGAGGCAAGACTGTTTTTTCAATGTGAACTTACATTGAACAGATTTTTCTTCGTTGTCTTGTCCTCCACTTTTTGCACTAGTCTTTGATAAGCTCAAGTATTTCTTCGATGTTGGAGGTAGCTTGGATAGGATTCAAGTTAGAGGACAAAATTGCGGTAGGTGGTGATGATGGTATTGGGGAGTATAGATATAAATGATATAAAGGAGGTACCAAGAAGTACCGGCCAAAATATAGGTCATATTTTCAGTGATCACTTTGCATACTACAAGAGGAAGGAAGTCTCACAATTTATATTTCTGCTTCTTTCTGGTCATATCTGATCATTCTGGTCTATCTATCTTTTTTTTTTTTTTTATCAGATACACATTCCAGCATTTTAATGGTAGGTTTGTGTATTGATTTATATATGTTTATAAAAGCATGATGATAAAAAATGGCCAAACTACAGGCTCATCTCCACACAGACCTCAAGAAGAAATCTCACATTATTTTTTTATTTTTGAATTTAAAATTGACAATTTCCCTTATCAATTTATCTCTTATCTAGTTATGAAGAAGTGGATGAATCCCGCTTGGTAAATAAAAATCTATCTGAAACAGACAGCGATGCTAAGAAGAAAAAGAAGAAGAAGAAGAAAGAAAAAGAAAAGAAAAAGGTGTGTTAATTTTCTTTATAAAAATAAGTAATTAATTAAATTATTAAGTAAGTTCAATTTTTGGTTTTAGAAAAAAGAAAAGAAACTTAAAAAAGAAAAAAAGAAGCACAAGCACAAGAAAAGGAAGAAAAAAGAAACCAGCAGTTCAAGTGGATCAGAAGAGAGTGAAGAAGAATGGGTTGAAAAGAGTAGTAAGTTATTTAAAATGTGTTAAGGGCCCCTTCTCTAGATTTTTCTTTTAATTCATAATATCTTTTTGTTAAATAGATTATTTTTCTCCACCTTATCGCATGCTTTTTTTAAAATCTATTAGTATAATATGCTAATTATTGTATTGACTCAAAATAATTCCAGTACTCCAAACAACAATGGAAGAAGAAGAAGTTGGTCCTGTGCTCAAATCGCACACATTATCCCAGAAAGATTTTGGTAAAGCTCTCCTTCCTGGTGAGGGTGCTGCAATGGCAGCTTACGTTGCTGAAGGCAAACGAATTCCAAGGAGAGGTGAAATTGGACTGACTTCAGAACAGATCGCTTCATATGAATCTGTCGGCTATGTCATGAGCGGAAGCAGGTTTGATTTGTTCCATTTTCCAGTTTCATTTTCAAACTTGTTCGTGCCCCTTTGTACAAATTGTTGCTTTTCAGACATCGCCGAATGGAAGCTGTACGTCTCCGTAAAGAGAACCAGATTTATTCAGCTGACGAGAAGCGTGCTTTGGCTATGTTCAGCAAGGAAGAGCGGCAAAAGAGAGAGAATAGGATATTGACGCAATTCAAGGATATGATCAGCAGCAAACTTTCAAACAATACCGACAATTCTTAATTTGTTTTGTGTTTATATTAACTCTATGTAAATAAAATTTTAATAAAGTATTATTGTTTATGTAAGAAGGAGCAGAAACAATTAGTCTTAAAATTTTGGATTGAAAACTTTGTAATCTTTGAATATTGGATTATATTTGGCTGATCCATAAGCTTGGCACCCATACGTCCATATAGTTTTGAGTAAGTATGTATATCTACACATGTATCAAAAGTTTTAATTTTAGTAGTAATTTTGATTGTTGGTTTAGTAGGTACTAAAGCATTTTAAAGCATTAAATGGTTTGTGAAGGGTCTGTTGTTTTAGTCGTATGTGTGAATTCCAAGTTAATCTTCTACCAAATCAAGTCCTAAATCGTAATTTTGTCAGATTGAGGAACAGGTTCATTGTATAAATATATGTATTATATGTCTATAAATACAATTTATTACCGGTAACAGCAAAAGTCTTTGAACTCTGATTTTAAAAACTATCAGTCCTTTGTTAAATCCTTACATAATACCTTAACATGGTTTCCACCCTTCTCGTTCAACAACAGCAATTTTTATGTTTAAAGACTACACAACCAAAGCCCTAACTATCAGCAACAGGTTGACACAATATATTTAGGTTATAGCAAGGTATTTGAAAAGTTAATCATTATCTCCTTATCCAAAACCAATTGTGATACATGGTTCTCTCCTCAATTGGTTTAGCTCCTATTTGCAAGATAGAAATCAAATTGTGAAACAATTTAGTAACTAATAAAAAGTTACTAAATTGTTAAGTTACAAGACATCCAATTGGGCCAGTAGAATACCATTAAAGACCTTGGTATCACATACTCTAACAACCTGACATCTAACTTACATTGCATCTCAACAATTAATAAAACAAATCAAATTTTACGTTTCTTATATAGACTACAAAAAAATTTAAGGATGCAGAAAGAACTGTTTAAGGCTATGGTCTGTCCCCTTTTAGAATACAGTTCAATTGCTTGGTCACTACATCAGAAAATATTATGTACAATCAACTCTTGTTATTTGAATTATTTGATAATACAAATTCAACAGGTCACTTAGGTAAATCGAACAAATTCTGTGTATTTTGATACACTCATTAATAAGAAATATTTTTCATAACAGGGGAAGAAAGAGCATTCTGTAAATTGAAATGGAGCCACTTCCCCTCTTCATTTAGACAAAGGATGCCAGACCAGATTCAAACAAAACTGCTTCATGAATTTTTTTAAAAGGGCATGACAATGTTAACTTTTACAGTTGATCTACTTTCAATTTGCTGTATATCCAGGTTGAGACAGTGTGTGAGTTTCAGATGTGCGAAAAAATTTATCAAAGGACCATCGCAGAAACTAATAAATCTAGGATGTGCTAGAACTAAAATAATAGTTGGACTGCTAACTGGACACTGCATAGTGCAGACTCCGGAGGCATATGTATGGACTTGGAGTGGCAGAAACAAGCCTAAGGCCTATGTAGGCTGAGATTCCTAAGCCAGGGAGAGGAAAAGCCAGGGCCTGAAGGATACAGACGTGTGCCCTTGAAAAAGCTTTGGGGTGGCAAAAAGCCTCAAGCTTAATGAGGAGCTTTAGGCAAGAATAAAAAAATGTAGATACCCAATAGTCCAATACTGGTCGTGGTGCACAGGTTGTAAAGAGCCTAATTTATCTATCATCTTAGTCCAATTCCTCAACTCAAGGAAATGAGTAATACACTTCTTTTACATCTTATCTTTCTTTAAGATGATTTAAATGTATATTTTTTTTTACCTTGATTGCGGCGATTGCATTTGATTTGTTTATATGTTTCTGTAGTTTTAATTAAATTTTATCATTCCTTGTCATTTCCTTTATATATGTTTATATATTACTATTGTTTAATTGTGTAATTAAATTTTTATCATTCCTTCTCATTTCTTTTATATTTTTTATACACATGTACATTGTGACACAATACTTATAAAGTTTTATTTGTGTGTTGTTATGTTGAATATTTCCTTATTTTATATATTTACACATATATATGTTTAGAATCCATACCTGTATAAATAAATTAATAAATATGCTAGGACTAATCTCACGGCGGAGTGATCCATTTTTCAATTGTTGCTATGTGGTTTGTAGCATAAGTGAAGTTTGTGTAGAGGAGGGATGACATGTCCCTTTTTTTTAAAGAAAAAAATTGGGCTTAAACTTCACTGCCTGCCCAACTGACAAATCCGCGCCCCCTCCGTAAATTCCTTAACAATTTTATTTAATAATTTAATTATAAAAATAATTTTTATTTGTGTATTACGTTGTTTAAAGACGAAACTGGTTTTATAAATGGATTGCAGATTGGCTGAAAATTATTCAGTTAAAAAAAATATAGATGCATTTATAAAATTTAATAAGTTTTTGTTTCAAAAAGTAAAAGTCAAATAAACGGATGTTGTTTTTTAAAAAAAAGATTGCATTCTATTTTAAAATATTTTAATTTGATAAAAGTCGACATTGATAAAAATAGGGATACAAAAGAGGGGATACGGAGTAAAGCACTGTGATGGTTCTGTGCTAAACTGCTCTCATGTCTTCGTCCGAGTAGACTTTTGTTGTTTTCTCGCCGGCTTTTCCCGAACGGAGGAACGGGACTTTTTTAGTTGTTGTTTTTTTTGTTTTTTCAAGAGGAAGAAAAAGAATTTTCGGCATAACGCGGTAACACGGATAATTTCGAAATGGCAAACGTCTCGTACCAGATAGCGAATCTTCTCGAGAAGGTATGTCCATAATTTTTTCAGCCTTCTCATCATTCATCGCCACCGGCCATTAAGTACATTAATATCGTAGATTTTCCATAGTTTTTTCGACGTCGTATAATGGCAAACGTCGAATTTACCAGATAGTTCTATTTTTCTTTTGTCAACGTTGACAACTACACCATGGAATGCCTTTTCTATTGTATGGCTGCCCTACCATTATTTGGAGGGTGCGTTAGTTCTGATAATATTAGCATGTCTTGAAGTCAATTGCAATTATTGATGTATTGTATGTACATTAAAAACAGAAAACAAACACAATTTTATTTAAAATTAACAAAATAACACTATTTACTCATCTCACCAAATAGTCAACATGTACTCAAAGTGTAGAAGAGAATTGTTATGGAGACCCCCCAAAAAACCCCGAAGAACTACCATACATGGGTCTGAAAATGATTAATACATTTGTTTCACTTCTTATTCATTCTTAAAACCTTATACCTTTCAGATTCCAAGCTTGTAAAAATAATAACATTAGAAATCATTAAGTCCAAGACTTCCTAGTATGCACAATGTCTATCTGTACCATAAGTTCTCCCTAACCATCCCAACCCTTGATAACCATAAATGGCTAGACCTCTTTTCAGCTTTGTTTTCTCCAATAAAAGAGCAGCATAGAACTGAATGTTTACGCTGTGCTCAATCCTCAGTTGATTTCTCATTTTTTGAAGACCTATCTCATTCACATAGTTATTTAATTTAAAAAGACACTTTCGTCGGTCTTAATCTGAGTTGCATTAGCTTTTAAAACTTCATTGCGAGGTTCTCCATTTGAACTCTGCTTTTTGGATTAGAGGGAGGGATGGGATCTGTTCCCTTTGCAATTCGCAGTCAATTGAAACAGTTCTTCAGTACCTAGCTGAATGTTTGATTTTCGGAGAGATTCGATTATTTCATCTCAGGTCATTCCTTCTCTCAAAAGTCCAAATTGACCTGTCTAATGGTTCGGATCCCCGGGCTCTACTACAGTATGCTTGCCATGCTTGGAACTATAGATTCTATTTAGTTGAGGAATTTAATTTTTAATTTATTATACAAGTTTCCATCATTGAAATTTTTTTATTCGTATTAAGTTTTATTATTAAGTACATTATGGGAAAATTACCAAGTTGTACAGACTTACATAATAATTAAAATAACATTTATGTATGAGTAGTAAGAAATATGTATAAATTTTGTAAACAGCATAACAAGCCAATTGCAAAGTAAAAATTAAATCTTGTGCATAACGTATTACAATACAAAATATAAATTTATTCTTGTTATCCATGTTATCGTGACAAGCTCAAGTGGTACAGCAGTAGAAGGTCATGGGTTTGAATTCCGTTTGTGATACTAACTTTTTCATCTCAACCAAAACCTTAGATAAAAAGAGTAATTAATTGAAACAATTAATATGGTCAATTATGATCACTAAACATATATGGATTTTAAAAAAATATAAACTTAATAGGAACAGTACAAATTATTTATTGCCTTAAATTCAAGTTTTTCTTAAAGGTATCTGATTTACACCCCAAGAACTCTTTGCTGCCAAATTTATCATCAAAAGCTCACTGATAAAAACATATTGATCCATATTATGTGCAACAAGTTCAATGAAATACAAATAAAACATATTAAAATCTCTATGAACCTATTAAACATATTAAAACCTAGGAACTAGAAAATTTATTTTACTTGATAACTCCGCACAATAATAGTTCCCAAACTGTGATTCTCAAGGGTCATGAGTCGGCCCTCCTGAGCCCAAACACCATATTCCTTTTCCTCTCATCTCATTTTAAAAATCCACGTATTTCACAAACCTTTTTTGGACCCTTTTCCAATTTATTGAATAGCATACTTATATAAAATAGCTAATGATCTGGAAGACAAAACTCATTTCTTTTCTATATATATATTTCTATTCTCTGTTTTTTTCTACAATTAATGCATGTCTATCCAGAGTTCTACATTTAATTTTGAAGTTCAAATCGTATGACAATTGACAACAATCTCTGAAAATAGCCAGAATTAATTCCTAGTTGTATATACTTATTTTGAGATTGTGAGATGTGGTCTGGTGTAACACCACACACATTGTATATACTTTTATAAGTATGTTTCATTGATGTGCACAAAATTATAAAATACAGTATTTCTACCATAGTATAGTGGGTCACAAAATGATTTGTACACTTTTTTAAATTTTCTTCTTTTCTGACCACCTTTCCACAGATTTTACTTCCCTTCCTGATCTGAATGTCATTTCACACTGAGATCATATCGCTGAATTCCTTGACTCCCATCTCCCTCTCTTCTACTTACTAAGCCCATACCCCACAGTATCTCTGCCTTTCCGAAAATAAACCCCTGGGCCATGATCTTAGTACCCCAAAAATCCAACGAAATCCACCCAAAAAAACAATGTAGTACATTACATCTATCTGCAAGGCAATATTTCCCTCAACCTATTTCCCCATCCAGTGGAAACTATAATAATGATAATATATTTTACGGAATTAATCCAATTTATAAAAAATGTTAAAATATAGAAATGTACAATATAAAAACAAAAATAAGAAAATAAAGGAAAAAATTACTTAAGTATTAAACAATATGTAAATTAAGAAATTAGCTTAAAAGAATGTTTCGTATTATACCTAAAAAAGATCATTTATCATTGTTATTTTGAATGTTTAAATTGGCATTGTAAAATAATATAACATATTTTAAAATGTTACATAAATAATTAGAAAACAAGTACTTACATGTTGATTAGAAAGTCAAAATAAGAATAAGTGTGTATTAGATGAATTGTACTCAGTAATATGTTTAATTAGAGATAATATAAAGTTAAATATGCAAGTATGTACATAAACATACATAGCTGTACAAAAGTGCAAGTTAAATAATTTAATCCATATTTGCTTAGTGGTGCACACATATTAATTATATCTAAGGTTTTTGATCGAGAAGAAAAATTAGTGTCACGAATGGGATTCAAACCCACATCCTTCGAATGCCGCTGCTCTAACAACTTCGATCCACCCAGACACCAACTCCCCATCTCAACTCATCCTACAACTGTTTGAATTTTCCGTTTTTTTACCATAATTTCAAATATCATATAATCAGGCGTCAATTCTCAGTGACTTATGAAGTGGCCATAGTGAAGTAATTACTTCTTTTAATTATTAAATTAATCTATATTAGCTTAGTGGTCATAATTGGCCGTATTAATTGTTCCAATCGTGTCAAGCTCAAGGTTAGAGCGGTGGCATATTGAGCCGAAGGTTGTGGGCTCGAATCCTGCTTGTGATACTAATTTTTCATCTCATCCAAAAACCTTAGATAAAAAGAATAACTAATTGGATTAAATAATTTATATGAAAAACATTTTACTGTTATAGACATAATGAAAGCTATTTTATCTTAAAATGTAGTAAAATTAAAATATATCGTTAATAACCCTAGTACTAAAACCACACAAATCCACCTGTGCCCTGTCCTCTTATAGGTCAATAAGCCTCCTTCCTATTTTATCTAAAATCTTTGAATGACTCCTCCTTAAAAGGCTAATTCCCATATTCGACTCTGAAAACTTAATTCCTAATTATCAATTTGGATTTCGACATCACCATTCCACTGTTCAGCAGTGCTTCAGAGTAGTCGACATGATATCCTTGGCTCTAGAAAACAAAAGATACTGCTCAGCCCTATTTGTGGATGTTACAAAAACTTTGGCCGAGTGTAGCACCCCAGCCTCTTTAATAAGTTAAAACTTATCCTCCCGCACACCTACTATTTCATCCTGATGATTTAAAGTGAGAATCAGTGCTGATTTTTCACCCATCACAACAATCTAAGCTGCCGTATAAAAAAAAATATATATAAAAAAAGCCAAGATTACAAGCCTTTAATAAATGCAAAGGGATGGCATATAAAACGTTTAAAAAATGTAAATGGTATTATTTTTCATAGTTTTCTGAGTAAATGAATAGTTTATTAGGGTTCAAAAATGTCATTTTTGTGGAACACCTAATACGCATTATTTTTTTAATAAATAATTTCATGGAACATATTGTTGAATTGCCTAGGTTATTGCCCCAAAGGTTTTAGTTACAAAATAAAATTAAAGAAGAAAATACCAAAAAAAGAAATGTTTCGATTCCAGTACATATTAACAAACAATTCAAAGTGATAACCACAAATCTCTTTTTTTTCCCCAGATGACCTCAACTGATAAAGATTTTCGATTTATGGCAACAAATGATTTGATGTCTGAACTGCAGAAAGACAGCATTAAACTTGATGATGATTCTGAGAGAAAAGTTGTAAAAATGTTACTCAAACTTTTGGAAGACAAAAATGGCGAGGTGCAAAACCTGGCTGTCAAATGGTAAAAACGTTTCTCCTGTAAATAAAGTCTTGTTTATTTATAACTCAACTGTCGGTGTTTTGCAGTCTTGGCCCATTGGTTAACAAAGTCAAGGAGTACCAAGTAGAAACGATTGTAGATTCTCTCTGTTCTAATATGGTATCGGACAAAGAGCAGTTGAGAGATATATCTAGTATCGGTTTAAAAACAGTCATTAGCGAACTTCCTCTTGCTTCTAATGTTTTAGCTGCTAATGTTTGTAAAAGAATTACAGGGAAATTAAGTTCAGCAATTGAAAAGGTTTAGTTTGTTTTGATTTTTGCTCATTTGTTCATATTCAGAGAAAAAAGAAATTACACTATTTTATCAGCAGGAGGATGTTTCGGTGCAGTTGGAAGCTCTGGACATCTTAGCAGATCTTCTCTCACGATTTGGAAATCTTTTAGTGTCTTTCCATCAGACAATTTTAAATGCTCTTTTACCCCAGCTGGCCAATCCGCGCCAAGCTGTTCGTAAACGGTAAAGCCTTGCACTTCAAAACTTGTTTATTATGATTTTTTTAAATCGTGTTTGTTTTTAGTACGATCGTTGCATTAAGTCATTTGGTGATGTCTTGCAATCAAACCCTTTACAACAAATTAATTGAATATCTCCTAGAAGGCTTAACTCGAGATGCAGAAAATTCAAAAACTAGTACTTACATCCAGTGCATTGCTGCTATTTGGTAATACTCATTTTCTTATTTAATTATATTTCATTTTCATCAATTTTATTTTATTATTTTTATTTATTTATTTTTTAGCCGACAAGCAGGTCACAGATTTGGAGAACATTTAGATAGGGTTATGGTCCTTGTTGTAAACTACAGCGAAAAACCCGACGACGAACTCAGAGAGTTTTGTCTTCAAGCTTGCGAAGCTTTCGTGCAGAAATGTCCCAAAGAGATTACACCTCACATCAACACTGTCAGGGAGCTTTGCCTCCGTTATTTGACATATGATCCCAACTACAACTACGACGAGGCTGACAGCGATGCTGCTGGTGTTATGGAACTTGATGACGTCGACGAAGAAGAAGATGATGATGACTATTCCGATGACGACGACATGAGCTGGAAAGTAAGGAGGTCATCTGCAAAATGCCTCGAGGCGATAATTGCCACAAGGCCTGAATACGTTCCAGAACTGTACAGGGTTGTCTCACCCGCTCTTATAGCTAGATTTAAAGGTATCGATATCTTTCTGTTAAAATGTAACCTTCTTATAATTACTATTATACATCTTTTTAGAAAGGGAAGATAATGTAAAAAGTGATATTTTCCATGCATATATAACTTTGTTGAGACAAACTAGAAGCACTGCGGTCAACAACTTGGATCCTAACTGTATGGAAGATGAAGATTCTCCCCTGTGTTTGCTTCAGAAACAAGTTCGTAAACGGTTTTTTATTATATTATTTTGATTATTGAAATATATTCTTTTAGGTTCCAGCTCTTGTAAAAGCAATTCAGAATCAGATGAAAGAAAGAAGTATAAAAACAAGACAAGACTGTTTTGCTTTATTAAAAGAATTGGTGACTGTCTTACCAGGAGCTCTTACAAATCATATTCCAGCTCTCATCCCTGGTATCCAATATTCTATGGGGTGCGTAACAGAAATTATTAATTAAATGTTGTGAAACAAATTGCTTAAATGGATTTTTTTTCCAGAGATAGAAATTCAAGTAGTAACATGAAAATCGACACCTTGTCTTTCATGCACTGTTTGCTCACAACGCATTCAGCAGAAGTCTTTCATACGTACATGCATGTACTCGTACCATCTGTAGTATCAGCAGTTTCAGATTCATTTTACAAAATAACAGCAGAAGCGTTACTCGTACTGCAACAGTTGGTGAAAGTATTAAGACCGCTAGGTAAAACTGAGCTTTGTTTAAAAGAAATACTGTTTTAATATAATATTATTATTACTATTATTTTTAGATGTACCCAGCGAATTCAACTTTGCACCATTTACTCATGAGATTTACCAGTGTACTCTGTTACGCCTCAAGGCTGCTGATATAGACCAAGAAGTTAAAGAAAGGGCTATTTCATGCATGGGTCAAATTATTTCCAGCTTGGGAGACCATCTGAACGCTCAGCTCCCCACCTGCCTTCCCATTTTTCTTGATAGACTTAAAAATGAAATAACAAGGCTTACAACAGTCAAAGCCTTGACCAAAGTCGCCTCCTCTCCTCTTAAGATCGACCTCAGACCAATTTTGGTAATTCTGATGTTCTTAAGATATTTCCCTTGAAATGTTAAATTTAATTTTTTCCCCTTTTGACTTTTAGACTGATGGGGTCCCTCTTCTTGGTTCGTTTTTGCGTAAAAACCAACGCGCTTTGAAACTGAGCACACTCTCACTGCTTGATACTTTAGTCAATCATTATAGCAGTACACTTAATTTAAATCTTCTGGAAAAAGTAAGTCTATTAATTAAAGTTTTAATTCTTATCTTTGGCTAAGCGTTTATTTTATTTTAGGTTAAAGTCGAATTGCCACCTTTATTGAGTGAATCAGATCTCCACATTGCCCAGTTAACACTCGTGCTACTCACTTCTATTGCAAAGTTACAACCGACTGCCTTGTCAGATCTCAACAAACCTTTTATGCTCCCTGAAATTTTAACCCTAGCCAAATCTCCACTTCTTCAAGGTAAAATTAAACAATTTATATTAAAATGGCAACTGGTTTAAGTATTAAAATTCTTTTAGGAGGAGCATTAGCGTCGCTTTTGGACTTTTTGGAAGCTTTAGCAGTTGCTAATCTTCCAGGGCTGAATAACAAAAGGCTATTGGAAATGCTGACCGCACCAGTTTCTCAACACCAGCCTCCTTTGCACAAACAAGTAATATTTTTGATAGTTAAAAATTATTTAGTTTATTTGAATAATTTATTTATATTCCCCACCCTTAGGCTTTCCATTCTTTAGCTAAGTGTGTGGCTGCTGTTACTGTCCCATGGCAAGATGAGGCTCTCTCTGTTGTCCTGAGGCTTTTGTCAGACCTACAAACTGCTCCAGGAAGTGACCAGCAGCAGATATTCGCCCTTCTTGTGATTGGAGAAATCGGAAGGCACATGTAAGCTATTAAAAAATTTTTGTTTTTGTTTTTTTTATTGTTTAAAATTTATTTACAGAGATTTGAGCGAAGTGGAAAATTTAAAAGACATAATTCTCACATCTTTCTCTCACCAATCCGAAGAGGTGAAATCAGCTGCTAGTTATGCCCTTGGAAGTGTAGCTGTTGGAAACTTGAAACAGTACCTGCCATTCGTCCTGCAAGAAATCGAGGCTCAACCTCGTAGGCAGTATTTATTACTTCACTCACTCAAAGAGGCAAGTGGGAATTTTTAAATTTTTATTTATGTATATACAAATAATCGTTGATTATTAATGTTTGTTTTACAGATTATTTCATGCCAAAGCAGCAGCGCTGAGGGTGTCAATGTACTCTTGAGCTATGTTCCATCGATTTGGGAACTTTTGTTCAGGCACTGTGAGTGCTCAGAAGAAGGTACGAGGAACGTTGTGGCTGAGTGCTTAGGAAAGTTGACACTCATTGATCCTGGTTCACTACTACCAAGGCTGCAACAAGCTCTCAGCTCCCAATCTCCTTTGATGAGAACAACTGTGCTGACAGCTGTTAAGTTCACCATTTCTGATCAGGTACGTCACCGTTAAGATTTTTTTCCCACTTTTATTTATAACTTATTGAATTTTTTTTCAGCCTCAAACTATTGATCCATTGTTAAGATCAAGTATAGGGCAGTTCCTAAAAGCATTAGAAGATCCGGACTTAAACGTTAGAAGAGTTGCGTTAGTAGCGTTTAATTCAGCCGCTCATAATAAACCATCTCTCGTCCGGGATCTTCTTGATTCAGTCCTTCCTCAGCTCTATCTCGAAACAAACATAAGAGTAATTGCATTTATCTTTTATTTATTTCTCAGTAAAATGTATTAAAATATATCATTATTTTAGAAAGCACTGATTAGAGAAGTGGAGATGGGCCCTTTCAAGCATATCGTTGACGATGGTCTTGATATCAGAAAGGCAGCATTTGAATGCATGTACACTCTCTTAGACGCTTGTCTCGACAGGCTTGATATATTTGATTTCCTCAATCACTTAGAACACGGACTTAAAGACCATTACGATATCAAAATGCTCACTTACTTAATGGTTGCTAGGCTTGCCCAACTCGTTCCGACTGCAGTCCTTCAAAGTAAGCCTAGTATTTTTCTTTTTTTAAATTGATATAATTATACTCAATTTAATTTATTTTAGGATTGGAAGGATTGGTGGAGCCATTGAAACATACGTGTACATTAAAAGTAAAAGCTAATTCTGTGAAACAAGAGTATGAGAAGCAAGATGAACTGAAGAGGTCGGCGATGAGGGCTGTAGCTGCACTCCTTACAATACCAGATGCTGGTGTGTATATTTTTCTATCAATACATATTTGTATGAAATGTTATAAAGTGAGTTTATAAGGACCATTTTTTTAGACAAAAATCCTCATCTGAGCGAATTTGTCACCCAAATCAGAAACACTCCCGAGCTCCAGGTGATATTCGATTCGATACAAAAGGATTCATCTCTGCTCAGTCAGGACTCAAATCAAATGGATCTGAGCTGAGGACCAATGCTAAAAGGATGGCTCCACTCCGTTCAGAAACAGTGATTTGTGTGCATTGCACAAATTTTACAAATGAACTGCTTTTGAGAGAGTTCGAAAACGTTGAATAGTAACAATGTATAACAGAAAACAAAATCGTTGCTTTAATTTTTTTTGTGTAAAGGATTGAGTAAATTTAATTAATTGGATCTGTTATTTAATTGAAATTTTTTTTTTGAAAAATCACATAATCTTTTTTTTTTTGAAATATATAAATATATTTGACAAAAAATCAAGCGTCATTCATTCAAGTGTATATATATTTTTTAAAAAACAATTATTAAAATATAGCCTTTTGTTCATTGCATTTTTTATTCTATTATTATTATTATTGTTCAGAAAAAATGCTTTTTTTCATACTGATAATGCGCAGCAGAATCATAATTATTTTTTGTCAAAAATGAGCTCGGTGAGGCACAATTAAAACAGATTTAGAATAATATATTTACACTTTTTTTAATTTATCCATCGATAATAGCTAATACTGTTTTTAGTTGTGTTATCACATGACAATAAATAATATCATTTGCACACAGGTGAATATAAAGATACAATCTTTATCATTTTTTAATTTCTATAAAAATCGATATACTTATTAGAAACAGAACTAGTTTAAATAAAAAAAAGGAACTTTAATGTTATGATTAAATTATCATATAAGCAGTTTTTATATGTGAGATTCATTTTTTCTTCCTTTTTTTCATGTTTTCAAATATTCTCTTTGAGAATTTAAAATAAATATTTAAAAATTAAATTGTTTTAATAAAGTTAAATTTAAACCGGGAGGATACTAATAGATCCAGCTATGTAAAAGAGCTGTGTGAACGTGCATAACATTGAAATTATATTCGCCAACGCCATGATGCTGTGTTTCTTCCTGAAGCTCGAGTGTATCATCATGTAGTGTGGACAGTACTGTAGCCTTCCCGGTTTGTGTGATGCTATTTCTTGGCCGACGCCTGGCTCAGTCAGCTCGATCTCTTTTTTAGTGTCCATGAGGCGGATGACGTCTGGGGCAACATACAGGCGAGCAAGGAGCTCCAGTATGAAAGACGTCGATATTAAAGACATCTGAAACATAAAAATAATGAATTAATTAAATCTCATAACAACTTCTGGGTAAATGCGAGTCGACACCCTAACCACTCAACCACCTGTTCCACTAGATTAACAAAAAAAAAAAAATTCCGTTTGCTGTCAATTGCAAGTTTTGGTATAGAGGTTATGGGGTGTTGTGTTCACTTTTGGTCCACATATGTTTGACTTCTTTCATCTTCAACAATAATAAAATTTTAGCCAAATCTGTACCATGTAAAACCATCTCAAACAAATTTGAAATTTAAGAATGGTACAACTTAAAAAATGTCAAACCACCGTAACATTAGAAAGAAGGTTACAGAAAAACCAACAAAGATACTATTCAAAGATTTATTTACAAAATCCAATTTTAAACACATGTGGGAGATTTTATCTGTTTTAATTACCACTAATCCTTTAAAACAGATCAAATATTGTTGTAAGATAAGGGAGGATTATCTAAGGGATAATTAAAAATATTAAGAGTGGCCACTTTTTTGTCTCAGTGTAAAAGCTCTTATCTGTGCACACATGTAATACATGAGCCTATCACTTCTTGCAGTCCATACTTCAAATCAAAAGTCCAAAGACAAATTGTCAAAGCTCCTAGCTACATCACTAACCTCTCTAACACAAAGACCTCAACATTCCTTTTGCCAGTAAACTGTTTTTTTGTCAGTGTAGCCACTTTTATAATAGTCCATGGCACATATGTAGAAATGTGATATCCCGCCATCTCACATATGTGCCACTCACATAAATAAATACATTCACTCTCAACACACACTAGAAACAGATAACTGTTTTAAATACAATAAAACAACCCTGTTTCTTCCAAAAAATCAGAACATGAGACCCAGATACTCACTGTCGTGCTCAAGAACAATTCTCAAAATGGGTGGCATTCCTGTGCGCTCTCTATATGAAGCCTAGGAATTGCAACTTCAATTAGGTGAGACATATTGAGCAATTATATGCCAGACAAAAGTGGGATTTGCCCCAAAAGTAAGTGTCCATGTGTCAACCTTAATCGGGTGGGGATGACCCTTCTTCTACAGGTCAGATCCTCCAAGTGCCACCTGGAGCATTCTTTCAACCATGCGTTATTGCGTTAGAGGGCAGGATTGCAGTGGCAAGTTCGGAGATTAGGTTTCACAGCTTAAGCCACCTCATCCGCCATTTCGTTACCCTCCAGACCTATGCACCCGGGGTACCCAGACAACAACCACCGTTCTACTGAGAGATTTGTATTGATCTCAACAACATCTTGCTCTGTGGTCTGTCTACTGACATCAGTCAAACGAGAATGGAATGATCAAAGGTGTTCAAGCTACAGGTTTACCCATTAGTTGCAAGCTTTAAAGATATTATATTATTATTTATTAGACAGTTAAATCCTAAGCCTATGGTAATATAGTCATAAACATTTTTTTTTAAACTTGCATGAAATTTAAATAAATAATTACCTGAAACCAGTGACTGTATTGCCACTGAATATGCGAATGAAGCATCGAGAAAGCAATAAGGTTCAAGGCGCTCAAGATGCAAGTGAATGTGAAGTACCTAGGGAAGAGCACTCGCTGTACATCTCCGAAGGCATGCCTCGAAAGTGAGAAATACAGTGATAAACCTAGATAGAAAAATTGCATACTATAATTTACTATTAAAATAAAATAATAAAACGACAATTGTAACAAAGTACATACCGGAGACGAATGTCATCCAGAACTGCGCTCCCATTTTCAGCCCAAAGCATAGCAAATATATTACTGTGGTGCATGTCGAATAAGGCTTTGGTGTTGTGGTTTGAGACCGAAAAAAATAGCTGAATACAAAACAGAGTGCTATTAACGCCGTGGCATGTGCTGGTTGATTTGATCTAGTCAGAGTCCTGGGAAAAAAGAAAAGGAAAAGAAAATAAGCAATTCATTAATTAAAAAATAGAGTTTGTTCAATCAAATTTGTCTAAAAAAAAAACATTAAAAAAGTTTAGTTTTTAAAATTTGGACTACCTATATCTCAGAAATTGTTGCAGCTATTAAATTAGGTTTTATCAGTCTGTATTAAAATTTAGAAAAAAATTGTCAAGATTGTTAAAAAAACTAGTCATTTTTGACAGGGAATAAAACTTTTTAAATTTTAAAACACAACTTTTAACAATAATCACAAATTTATTGTTATTTTGGTAGATTTTAATAACTTAATAAATAACTAAAGTACGGCGCCTTGCCCTCTAGAGCTATGCAATGCGCGATACGACAAGTGATGCGATATGCAATTCGACACCGCATCGCTTACAATGTGTATTCCTTGCCTAAGTACTTAAACAGACCGCACACCAGAGCGATAGCGATGCAACGCCGATAATTATCTAAGGTGTATCGGTTGCGACACAGAGTGTCAATCGCTCCAGGCGATAGATCGGCGCGATTCGTCAGTGAATCATGTAGACTCAACGGGAGGACGTCTCTCCTGCTATTTCTTTTGACAAAATAGATGAACACAACCCTAGTTTATGGAACTATTCTTTAAAAAATTATTCAAGAACTAATTTAACAAGAGTAGCTTGGAAGAAAATGGCAGAAAAGCTGGAGCTGAAAATATTGTTAAGATCACATTGGTGTACCCAATATTTTATTGCTTTTTTGTTTTCGCTGGCTTAAGTACCAGGAAGCAATAATGACTTCCTCCTCTGAGGAGCTCATGATTACAATTGCGTAAAAAGGTATTACTACTATAATAGACATCAACATAATGGACTAGAGTGTCTGTCGAGTTTACATATGCAAATAAATAACAAATACAGAAGTAAACATATTAAAATTAAGAAAAATATTATTTTCTAATAAAATGAAAATTAATTAAAATTAAATTTATCCACCAAAAACTGTCCGTATTTAAAGCAGTAATGGTATATGAATAAAAATCATCCCAATTGACTCCATTTAAAATGGCTAAACACTGATCATGCGACAAAGATCTCCTGTTATATTAAATTCTCCAATTTCATTGACATCATAGTTGAACAGTGAACAATTTTGTCTCCAGGGTTGATAATCGAAGTTTATCATTTTTGTTCCTAATTTAAAAATTAAGCTAGCCTTATTTATACTAATGGATGATGTAATCTAGCGATGATCATGGCGTGACTGTAGTAAAGGTGGAATCTTGTTTCAGATACAGTGACCAATAATCTGTTCCTTTCCCTCAACTTGAGCTTCTTCAAAAATGTTAAAGCGAGGTCACTTATATTCGGCACTGAATCTGTTTAAATTCATGGAAATTTCGAGTTCCTGTGCTCTTTCGAACCAGACCTTAACCCAACCAGTCTTTAACCTCACACTTTCATGTGTAATCAAATTAGCCAACTTGTTGATCATTGAATGTTTTGGCAATAAAGGTGGACTGTAATTTAAACTTAAAAAGAAATCAACTTGACGTGCAAAATTGGGCGTATTATTGGGACGGGATAATATTCTGTATACAGCGGACCGTTAAAAATTTTCTAAATCTATATATTCTTTATCCCCAAATTTTAACTATTTATAAAATTTTATTTTTAAATTTCCATCTTCTGTTTGGTCGTAAATTACGTTTATTGTTTTCAAATATCATAATTTTTGATTTAGCGGTATTAAATTTATGTTTCCAGTAGACACAATACATTTCTAAATCTTCCATCATTTTTTGAAACACGAAAGGAGAGTCCAGTTTAGATTTTAGCTGTAAAATATCATAATAAAATTCTATTGACACTTTAGGATTTGTTTTTGATATATTATAGTAAATGATTCGCGGATTATTCTTCAGGTGGCTTTGTTGCTCACAAACATGTGGATATTAGCGCCAGATGTGGTCTCCAAATTTGATGACATTTAAATAATATCAGAAAACAACACTTTAATGTAAAAAGATGCTATGGTATGTATCGTATCGCTTGTCACTTTGCTCCAGTGGGCACGAGAGCGTTGCGCCGATAAAAGTCATATCGGGCGATTAAAGATCGCTTCATGTTGCATCACTATCGCATCGCTCCAGTGGGCATTGCGCCTTACGCTTGCCTTCATTACCTATCTCACTCGTACTATTGTTTAAAAATAATTTAAGACTTATTGATAGGGGTTACATCATTACATGTATACATTGTGTAAATTAATTGTTATTTGAATCATATATATACATAAGTTAAGGTTAAAAGACAAAAGATTCTAGCTGTAAAATATCGAAATAAAATTCTATTGACACTTTAGGATCTTGTTTTTGATATATTATAGTAAATGATTCGCGGATTATTTTTCAGGTGGCTTTGTTGCTCACAAGCATGTGGATATTAGCGCCAGATGTGGTCTCCAAATTTGGTGACATTTAAAAAAGAAATCTAAAAATATCAACGGTTAGAATAAACAAACTGAAGGTGCAGACGTCAACCGGTTAAAAGCTTTAAACGAAAGACTCCATTTACTAGTCAATTGCATTTTACCATTTCTAGAAACAGGTATCTCAGCCATTGTGATCGTTGGGTGTATACACCTCGCAAAACAACTTGAGACTGAGCAGCGGAAATTTGTTTTCATAGCCCACTTTAAATATTATGAGGGTTGGAACGAGCACTTTGTTTTACTACCTATTTATGAAAAGTTTACGATTTTAAAATTTTCAGTGAAACGTTTTGACGACCGTCGCTTTCTACTCTGCCAAGTTTTAATTTAATTTTTTGCTTTAGCAGAGTTTTTAAAGAATTGAATGAATGAAAAATAAAAGAATGTGCTTTATTCGTTGAAATCGGTTAAAGCGTTGTGGCGCTGTGCAAAGAAAAAAAATCTGGAAGAGGTAGAGAAAGGACGTTGTATTTGTTATTTAGTTTTATTTACTTATTTTATTTTTTAGGAACAGTTTGGCTTCGTTGTGCCAAATCTGAGAAAAGTCCTAACGGATAATTTGACGGCAAACATGCATAAAGTTGACCCCTGTGATTATTAATTAACACAAGACAGATTTTTATAAAATTCTTCTTGACTTCAATCTCTAAAGATAATTAAATGGCTTAACTTCATTAAATGACTATGGCATAAATGGTCTTTGGCATAGGTGTTAGCAGTTTTTGAAATTTAGGAATAATTTAGGTATTTAAGGAAAAATTTTGATAACTAATTTAAAAAGAAAAAGAAAAAATCAGGAACAGCTAGAGATAGGACGTTTTATTTTAGAACAGTTGGCTTCGTTTTGCCAAAGTTGAGAAAAGTCCTATCGGATAATTATACAGCTCTAAAAATAATTTTTACGACTTTACTAAATGTATAAATTGTCTATGGCATAAATTTACTGCTGAGCACTCCTCTGTTACATGATGTGTTGTTTCTTCAACGTTTTTTTAACGGCGAGTTTCATCCAATCAAAATTAAATGAAAATCATTTATTTGTTAAATAAAGAAAATAAGCCCAATCAGAAAAGCGTTTTCATTGCTATATAACGTTTTTCTGAAACGCAAGAAGAAAATATAAAGCGAGTTACACCTAAAGAAGTAGCACAAGAAAGTAAAAATTTACCTGCTAAAAAGACTCCAGGATATGACATCACTGGAGAAAACTAAAACAACTGCCGAAAAAGGGGATAGTTAAACTAACATACATATTTAATGCTGCAATCATACCGAAATATGTTCCAGCATCTGGAAATTCGCAGACGTCATTATGATAAAATAACGGGAAAACCGGGGAACGAGGTCAAATAATATAGACCGGCAGTCTCTAAGCTTTTCGAAAAGTTATTATTAAAAAGAATAAAACCCCCCACCCAAAAAAAGAAAATCATCCCTGAACATCAATTTAGATTCCGAACAAGACATTCAACAATAGACCAAATTCACCGAGTAACGGACGTAATAGAAAAATCCCTTGAAGAAAAACAAATTTGTACTGCTTAATGTCTCACAAACTTTTTTCAAGTTCTGGCATCAATAAACTAAAAGGGATGCTACCAAAGCAGTGTATGTTATCAGTTCCTACCTAACTGACAGACTGTTTAGAGACACATAAGAAGACTAATATTCAAAATTAACAACATTAAATGCAGGAGTGCCACAAGGTAGCATTTTAGGTCCATTTCTTTACTTGTTATACACCAGTGATTTTCCGCAAATAGAGTAAGTCAAAAGTGCAACATTTGCAGATACGGTGATATCAATGCTGTGATAACATAAACGAATGGACAAAAACACGGAAAATCAACCTTACCAGCTTAAATCAGTACATATAAACTTTACCAACAAAAGTCGTTCACTTGGGACTATTATATTATACAGCTAAATATCTGGGAATGACCTTAGATGCCAAGCTGAGATGGGAAGTGCACGTGAAAAAAAGGACAGAAATAGGTTTAAAATATAAACAACTATACTGGCTGATAGGACAAGGCTCCAACCTTACTATACAAATTATTATTATACAAGCAAGTCCTAAAGCCTATGTAGACATATGGTATTCAACTATGGGGTTTTACCAAACACAGCAATATCAAAATCACACAAACACTCCAAGATAAAATTTTACGCAGCATGGTCAATGCACCTTGGTACGTAAAGAAAAAGGATCTTAACATACCTGAGGTCACGGCAAAAATACAAAGATTTGCCGCCAAACACCAGTTTCGCCTCAGCCAGCACGATAATGTGGAAGAGACCAAACTCCTACACAACCGAAACACCGTCAGAAGGTTAAACCGAACAAATCCATTTGAACTTTCTTTCCTATACAACGTTTTTCTGAACCGATTTTCAAATATTTTTCAAAAGTTTTCATAAAATCTAATTAACCTGGTTATGTATGCATTGTAGTGGTTGACAGGTACAACGGTAGGCTACCGTTTGAAAAAGTTAGTTTTTAACTTTTTAA